TCCACTCAGTAGCAATGTGACTGTGAAAATACTGATCCAGGACCAGAACGACAACACTCCTCAGGTTCTGTACCCAGTCCAGACTGGTGGCTCTCTGGTGGCTGAAATGGTGCCTCGTTCAGCAGATGTGGGCTATCTGGTGACTAAAGTGGTGGCTGTTGATGTGGACTCTGGACAGAATGCCTGGCTCTCCTATAAACTGCAGAAAGCCACTGACAGGGCGCTGTTTGAAGTGGGCTTACAGAATGGAGAAATAAGAACTATCCGCCAAGTCACTGATAAAGATGCAGTGAAACAAAGACTGACTGTTATAGTGGAGGACAACGGGCAGCCCTCTCGTTCAGCTACAGTCATTGTTAACGTGGCGGTGGCAGACAGCTTCCCTGAAGTGCTGTCGGAGTTCACTGATTTTGCACACGACAAGGAGTACAATGACAACCTGACTTTTTACTTAGTGTTGGCTCTGGCTGTAGTTTCCTTCCTCTTCATCACGTGTTTAGTGGTTATTATATCAGTGAAAATCTACAGATGGAGACAGTCTCGCATCCTGTATCACTCCAATCTCCCTGTGATTCCATATTATCCACCACGTTACTCAGACACTTTGGGGACAGGGACTCTCCAACACGTGTACAACTACGAGGTGTGCAGGACGACTGACTCCAGAAAGAGTGACTGTAAGTTTGGCAGAGCTGGTAGTCAGAACGTGCTGATAATGGACCCCAGTTCTACAGGGACGATGCAGCGGATACAGAATGAAAAGAGCATCCTGGATGAACCAGACTCTCCTCTAGAGGTTAGAATGCTTTAACTTTTCCACACAGTATTACCAATGATATTTTTTTTAAATTTTAAACTCGAAGATTTTTAGTAGAAATAATGCGGCAAAAGTATTTCATAAGATAATCTTCCTGATCTCTTAAACCCTCTTCCTTTACACCTTAGGCCTATTATATTACTTTCCGTTTTTAATTTTTATTTCATCAGTGCTTCATTTTCGATGTCAACCTCTTTGCCACAGTTCACTTGCTTGATTTAGACTTATTATCAATACCTATGTTGGTTTCATGTAACTTAGCGTGTACCAGAGGTAAATACACAACAGCTATCTGTTACATAGGCTTATTTACTTTGCGTTGTGCATGAAGGCTCTACTGATTGTTTCAGCACCCCGTACCCATACACATCAACATTTCTCTTACATTTTTTGACTTTTTGAATATACACTAACGTTTTTAAAATAATAACATGGTTGACAGAGTTATATTTCTTGGCCAGCATTAATGTCTTTTGTGGAAATCATTCACACAAAAGTTATTCAATGCAGGATTTTGATTTTTGAGAGGGGACTTGTGCGGGGCACCCATGTCAATCTTTAGTCATAATTTGTCAGTTTCAGAACAGTGGACAGCAACTTCCGCTTCCTTTTTTTCTATTCAATGTATCCGCTTTATGTTGTACGGTCTTTTGGTGTTTTTGTTTAAAGTTTTTCATTACTTTAAATATGATTGAGTATATAAATACAGCATTTGAAAGTGACTAAGTAAGTGATTGTATAAATCATGCAAACATAACTTTAAAGACAATCCGCAGAGGTTTGGGAATATGTTAAAACTGTTTCCGTGTCTATATTGATATTTGTTCATATTCTGATTTTTTCATGGCAAGTTCTCTGAACAGAGATTCGTTTATGTTCGATTTCTGCAGTTTTATAATGTGGACTCTTAGGGCCGCTGTTGACCAGAGTGTCGACGGCTGACTGAAGGGTTGTAGCAGCACCTCCCATGTAACGTCCACATAATAAAGAAAGAGCACGACGAGAAAGAATGGACACTCGACTTATACAAATGATTGGAAAACGTTTTTGAGACTTTCCTTCTTTTGTGTGGATTATAAAGGATCCATTTTACATTTGATATTGGAATCGATATCAGTTTTATTTGATACACATTGAATTCAACTGAAGCAATTCGGAAAGAACAATGACAAGGCAAGTACTGCTGTTCGTGTCACTCCTGTCTGTCGGCTCGGTGCTCGGGCAGGTCAGCTACACCATTCCTGAGGAAATGGCCAAAGGATTTTTAGTAGGTAATATAGCACATGATTTAGGTTTACAAACCAAACGTCTAGCATCTGGCAAAGCTCGAATTTATACCAGGGACAGCGGCGACTACATCGAGCTGAACAGAGACAGAGGAGTCCTCCTTGTTAAAGAGAGAATCGACAGAGAGGCGTTGTGCAGACAGACGACGCTCTGTGCTTTACATTTTCAGATTATTTTAGAAAATCCTATGGAATTTTACACGGTTACAGTCCAGATTACTGACATAAATGATAATGCACCGACCTTTGAAAAAAGTGAAATGAAATTCAAAATAAGCGAGTCAGCGATCACCGGGGCAAAATTTGTGCTGGGAAGGGCTGTGGATCTTGATGTTGGAATTAACGATCTTAAGAGCTACGAATTAAAGCCAACTGATAATTTTGTTCTGAAAGTGCACAATAATGCTGATGGAAACAAAAATGTTGAGATGGTGCTACAGAAACCTTTAGACAGAGAGAAACAGGAGCAGATTTCTCTTGTGTTAACGGCTGTAGATGGAGGAGAGCCGCAGATGTCAGGAACAATGCTGATTGTTATTACAGTTTTAGACGTCAATGATAATGCCCCCGTTTTTACACAGTCCACATACAAAGCTACAGTTACTGAGAATTCACCTAAAGGCACAGTTGTAGCAACTGTTACAGCCTCAGATGCAGATCAAGGCTCTAACAGTAAAATAGCATATTCAATCACGAACACGTTAGATGATATTGCGAAAGTATTTGAGGTAAATGAGGAAAACGGTAAAATTACTTTAGTTGGAAACATTGATTTTGAAGAGTCTAGAAACTATCAAATAGATTTACTTGCTAGTGACGAAGGAGGACTCACAGATTCCTGTAAATTAATTGTCGACGTGCAAGATGTAAATGACAACAAACCTGAAATTAATATAATGTCGAAGTCAAACGTGATTTCAGAAGATGCCAAACTTAATACGGTCGTTACAATGATAAACATCGAGGACAAAGACTCAGGAGAAAATGGAAAAGTACAATGTTTTATCAACGAAAATATGCCTTTCACTTTAAAAACATCAAACACTAATTTCTATAGTTTAGTGACGGACAGGGAATTAGACAGAGAGAGAGCCTCTGAGTATAATATAACATTGACCTGCTCTGATGAGGGAGTACCCTCCCTCTCCAGCAGCGTCACTCTCACCTTACAGATCTCTGATGTGAATGACAACGCGCCTGTCTTTGAGAGGAGCTCATATGAGGCCTACATTGTAGAAAACAACACACCAGGCCTCTCTATATTCACAGTGAAAGCCAGAGACGCTGACTGGAAGCAGAATGCCCGTGTTTCTTACATACTGGAGGACTCTTCTGTTAACGGAGTGCCAGTCTCCTCATATGTGTCCGTTAGTGCTGATAGTGGAGTCATCCATGCAGTGCGCTCTTTTGACTACGAGCAGATCAAAGATTTCCACTTCCGCGTCAAAGCGCAGGATGGAGGCTCTCCTCCACTCAGTAGCAATGTGACTGTGAAAATACTGATCCAGGACCAGAACGACAACCCTCCTCAGGTTCTGTACCCAGTCCAGACTGGGGGCTCTCTGGTGGCTGAAATGGTGCCTCGTTCAGCAGATGTGGGCTATCTGGTGACTAAAGTGGTGGCTGTTGATGTGGACTCTGGACAGAATGCCTGGCTCTCCTATAAACTGCAGAAAGCCACAGACAGGGCGCTGTTTGAAGTGGGCATACAGAATGGAGAAATAAGAACTATCCGCCAAGTCACTGATAAAGATGCAGTGAAACAAAGACTGACTGTTATAGTGGAGGACAACGGGAAGCCCTCTCGGTCAGCTACAGTCATTGTTAATGTGGCGGTGGCAGACAGCTTCCCTGAAGTGCTGTCGGAGTTCACTGACTTTACACACGACAAGGACTACAATGACAACCTGACTTTTTACTTAGTGTTGGCTCTGGCTGTAGTTTCCTTCCTCTTCATCACGTGTTTAGTGGTTATTATATCAGTGAAAATTTACAGATGGAGACAGTCTCGCATCCTGTATCACTCCAATCTCCCTGTGATTCCATATTATCCACCACGTTACTCAGACACTTTGGGGACAGGGACTCTCCAACACGTGTACAATTACGAGGTGTGCAGGACGACTGACTCCAGAAAGAGTGACTGTAAATTCGGCAGAGCTGGTAGTCAGAACGTGCTGATAATGGACCCCAGTTCTACAGGGACGATGCAGCGGATACAGAATGAAAAGAGCATCCTGGATGAACCAGACTCTCCTATAGAGGTTAGAAAATTTTCTCCTTTGGTTTTGTAAGGGTTGCATGTTTATATATGTCTGCTCGCTGACAATTTAGTTTCAGCACCTCGGACAGAGTCAGTCCCATGTAACCTGCTTCTCCTTTCTATCTCTCATATCCCGTGTGATACAACTGTAATAATATGTTTTAATTTTTGTGGGTTATTCTTACTTTGTTTTTATTTTGTGGCTGTAGTTACATGTTATCTATATTTTTTTGACGTTTTGATGGACGGACCTCCCCCTTTTCATAATTATTTTTAAAGGTTTTCCATCATACCAATGATGCACCTTCCTAACTGTTCCAACTGATAACTTTACTCTTGTAATTTCATTCCTTGAACTCCGTGGGCCGCTGTTGGTCAACGTGTTGCAGTTGGAGAGAGGATCTGAAGCAGATCCTCCCATGTCATGTTGGTATTTTAGTAGAAAGAAAAGAGGAGAAAGCACTGTTCACTGACAGATAACCCATTAGACGGACACATCAAGCGGATAGATTCGCCTTCAAAATTTGTGGATTATATCAACATTTTTAAATTTATTTTCACATGAAGATATTTGTGTTGTGAAAGCGAGTGTAACACCTTCTTTTGTGGGGCAACGTAGACTGTGGATAGAACAATGAGACGGCAAGTACTGTTTTTCATCTTGATCGTCTCTCTTGGTTCAGTTCTCGGACAAGTTAGCTACTCTATTCCAGAGGAAATGGCAAAAGGCTCTGTGGTGGGCAACATAGCACGGGATTTAGGTTTAGATGTGAAGAGATTAAAGGCAGGTAAAGCCCGTATATTTACGGGCGACAGTGCAGAATACATCGAGCTGAGCAAAGAAAGAGGAGTCCTCCTGGTGAAAGAGAGAATCGACAGAGAGGCGCTCTGCAGACAGACGACGCCTTGTGCGTTACATCTGCAGATTATTCTAGAAAACCCGATGGAGCTTTTTCGAATAACAGTAGAGATTATTGACATCAATGACAACAGCCCCAGTTTTAAAAATGATGAGAAACGTTTTGAAATTAGCGAATCCGCAGTCACAGGATCTAAATTTGTATTAGACAGAGCGGTCGATGAAGACATTGGCATGAATGGTCTGAAAAATTACAGTTTGAAACCTACGGAGAATTTTGTACTGAAAATACAAAGTCAGGCGGATGGAAATAAAAAGGTTGAGATGGTTTTACACAAGCCGTTAGATCGAGAGAAAGAGGAACAAATATCATTGTTGTTAACAGCGATAGATGGAGGAGAACCTCAGATGTCTGGTACAGTAAAGATTTATGTGACCGTGCTCGATGTAAACGACAATGCTCCTGTTTTTACGCAATCAGTTTACAAGGCGGCAATAGCAGAAAATTCTCGGAAGGGAACAACACTGACAACAGTCAGTACTTCTGATGCAGATAAAGGAACAAATGGGGAAGTTTCTTATTCAGTATCGACCACTATGGACAGTGTGTCTGATATATTTACAATAAATGAAAATGGTGAAGTAATATTAGTTGGTGAAGTTGACTTTGAAAATGCCAAGTATTTCCAAATTGACATTGAGGCTAAAGACAGTGGTGGTCTTTCTGATTCCAGTAAGATTATAGTTGATGTTATTGATGTTAATGATAATAAGCCTGGGATCAGTATGCTTTCCAAATCTGATTCAATCCCAGAAGATTCTCCTCAAAATACAGTTATAGTTATCTTCAGTGTCCTTGACCCAGATTCAGCTAACAATGGTCAAGTGAACTGCAGAATAAATGGTTACATACCATTTACTATAAGCACTTCTTCAACTGATTTCTATAGCTTGGTGACAGACAGTGAATTAGACAGAGAGAGAGCCTCTGAGTATAATATAACAGTGACCTGCTCTGATGAGGGAGTGCCCTCCCTCTCCAGCAGCGTCACTCTCACCTTACAGATCTCTGATGTGAATGACAACGCGCCTGTCTTTGAGAGGAGCTCATATGAGGCCTACATTGTAGAAAACAACACACCAGGCCTCTCTATATTCACAGTGAAAGCCAGAGACGCTGACTGGAACCAGAATGCCCGTGTTTCTTACATACTGGAGGACTCCTCTGTTAACGGAGTGCCAGTCTCCTCATATGTGTCCGTTAGTGCTGATAGTGGAGTCATCCATGCAGTGCGCTCTTTTGACTACGAGCAGATCAAAGATTTCCACTTCCGCGTCAAAGCGCAGGATGGAGGCTCTCCTCCACTCAGTAGCAATGTGACTGTGAAAATACTGATCCAGGACCAGAACGACAACCCTCCTCAGGTTCTGTACCCAGTCCAGACTGGTGGCTCTCTGGTGGCTGAAATGGTGCCTCGTTCAGCAGATGTGGGCTATCTGGTGACTAAAGTGGTGGCTGTTGATGTGGACTCTGGACAGAATGCCTGGCTCTCCTATAAACTGCAGAAAGCCACAGACAGGGCGCTGTTTGAAGTGGGCTTACAGAATGGAGAAATAAGAACTATCCGCCAAGTCACTGATAAAGATGCAGTGAAACAAAGACTGACTGTTATAGTGGAGGACAACGGGCAGCCCTCTCGGTCAGCTACAGTCATTGTTAACGTGGCGGTGGCGGACAGCTTCCCTGAAGTGCTGTCGGAGTTCACTGACTTTACACACGACAAGGAATACAATGACAACCTGACTTTTTTCTTAGTGTTGGCTCTGGCTGTAGTTTCCTTCCTTTTCATCACGTGTTTAGTGGTTATTATATCAGTGAAAATCTACAGATGGAGACAGTCTCGCATCCTGTATCACTCCAATCTCCCTGTGATTCCATATTATCCACCACGTTACTCAGACACTTTGGGGACAGGGACTCTCCAACACGTGTACAATTACGAGGTGTGCAGGACGACTGACTCCAGAAAGAGTGACTGTAAGTTCGGCAGAGCTGATAGTCAGAACGTGCTGATAATGGACCCCAGTTCTACAGGGACGATGCAGCGGATACAGAATGAAAAGAGCATCCTGGATGAACCAGACTCTCCTCTAGAGGTTAGTCTCATGGAATGACATAAAGTGTTGCATTACACCCTTAATGGCAGCAGTTTTTCTTTATCTGTTTATTACGTTGCACACTAAACTGGAGGCTCTTGGAAAGCTAGGAATTGCGATATCGTTTACATTTTTCACCCTCACAAGAAACCATCCTTAATGGTTTCATAAACAGATCTTCAACAACCATCTCTTCACCTCATAGTTTTATTAAACCTGCACGCAACCTTAAGCATAATTCAGGTGTGTGAAAAGTATAGGAATGTTTTGGATTAGTTACTGAAAAACTGAATTTCCTGTTAAAAAACTTTTGCTATTAATTTTAATCTAGGGTCATGCATAATCATCACTTTTTGTTTACTAAGTTGGATCTAAGTGTTTGATAAGAAATTCAGAGGGGTATTTGCAATGTCACAGAATGACAGACAGATTATTTTTTCTTTGGGTGAAATGCCCATTGGATCCATACGTGATTCACAGTGTGCCTTACTTCTTTATTTCTTTCTGCTGAACTACTGTCATATTCCCTACACTATTTGATAACAAATTTGTAATTCATAAATTGTTTGAAAATGATGATGCCGTCTTGAAGACTGCAGCTGTTATTTGCTGATGTCACTGTTAGCTGAAGTTTACAAATATAGAGATTTTGTACCAATATATACTGTTGCCCATAAAGTTGGAATAATTTTTTTTCAGACACAATCCTCTGTTTATTCCTATTTAAATGCATCAATAATCACTTTGGAAGAGATTGACTACTAAAGTTTTGAGAAGATATACACTTTATCTGTCAAGAATAAATCGCATTGTCACAATCATTTCATGGAAAGAGGTAAAAAATATTTTATTCCAACTTCATGAGCAACAGTGTATAATGTACTAATATGACTACTTTGCATATTCCCAGGTGAGAATGGATTTTATGGATTTTGAGCCAACAGGTTGGAAGTCAATTTGGAATTTCAAACTTGTCCTTTTTTTTAGCAGTAGTGTTGTAATCAGCTTTCATAGTGGTGCAATAGAGTGCAACTTTTAATTAAGCACTGAAAATTCTGTGTTTTTAGTTGACTGGATACAAAAATGTTCAAACACTGCGTTCAGGACCATTTACAAGACTGCTGGTATTGCCACAAGTGACATACTGTCTACCAATTTTCTGCTGGTCGTGTCTGATGCTTTTGCAACAATGGAAGATATCGATTACAGGTACGAAACTTACGTTAAAACAAAAAGAAAAGAAAAAAATAATATATAGTATGACGTATGTATAGTATATGATATATATAACTATGATATATAATATACTATCATATGAGGAATGCCATAGCTTGCAGATTATGTGCTGACACGTATAATTTCTAGACTATACAGAAAACGTACCATACAGAAATTCACATTTACAAATGGTCTGTTGTTGAAATCGTCTAATTTAAGTCACATGTCATCTGCCTTCTTGGATGAATTATTTGTGAAATGACTTTTGATTGTTGACTTGTTATTAGGACCAGGATCAAGTATAAAGTTGAACTGGCTGTACTTGTGTGGTAAATATAATGGCTGAAAACATATTGTCATGAGCAGCATTCTTGCTGTCTGTGTTTTCTGCATTATCTAGCTGTTGTTGGTCACATATTAGTAATCAGCAAAGACACACCCATGTCAGTTCATCGTTAACTAGTTGAGATGTACTGTCATTACAGTCCACCTAGCTCTTCTCACCTAGCTCTCCTGCTGTTCAGTGTCTACGTATGTCTGACTGAAGCATAATAATTCACTCCATCTGAATTTCTGCAAAATGTTGTCCAAAGAATTATTTTTTTGACAGGATAAAGCTGTGGGAAGTAAACAAAAATAGTTAAAAAAAAAGTAGGTCTTCTGATTTACAGCTCAGCTCTATGGAATAGTCAGGAAACATCTACTGTTCTACTGTCAGTTTAAAAGTCAGGTGGATAGAAATTAAATGCAGAACAGAGTGTGGGTAGGTGCATATATGGTGAAAAGCTGTCTTGTGCTCCATCTGTGTAGCAAACAAGTTCAGGCAAACTATTCTAATTGCCTAACTTATCAACTTGGTACTAGTCACGGCTAACAAGACTGTCATTACCAAGGAAGAACTCCAGCTGGAAAATATGTTTGTAATCTGCTGAATTATAGTTTATAAAAAATTTCCTCCCAGTGGACAGTTTTTCATGTTAACTGCATATTAACTACAGAGAATCTAGGTAATTTATCAAGGTCTGATGATAACCTTTTTCCTCAAATTTTCCTCTTCAAGAATAGTTACTTCAGTAAACAGTTTGATCTCTGACTTCATTGAAAAGAGGACTATTAAGTTAGTATTTACTTCAAGGATAACTGTTTCTGATGAACTCAGCAGGAATTATAGTTTTCTAGTCAGAAACTGCATAGTAGCCCCAGCAACTGGACTCTCAGTCCATTGTAGACATAATGTCATTGCAATCTAACTGTCCTCTTAATTGAACAGTGACATTATTTCACTTCTTGTGTAAAATAAGGCGTTGATCAGGAATCGCATAAGTTGACGAGATTTACTACTTTTTTTTTTAAAAAAAGATTGCAAGTCCTTTTTATTTCTTCATACTGTACCTGCTCCTGCACTGTGTAGTTTCCTGCAGTGAAAGTCTTTTGACTCTCAGCGCCGCTGTTGACCAAGGCAGAACCTTCCCCTTTCATTTTGTTATATTAAACACAGAGAGAGACACACACAGCACACAGGCGTAGTTGCAGAAGCCCGGACATATCCGCACTGCGATTCATTTATTTCGGATTCGGGAAAGACGGAGATAATCAGTCTTCATCTGGACCACTTTGTGATAGAAGAACCATAGCGCTTTGGAATACAGCCCTCTTTAAATCACCAGGATTTGTCGAGGATAAAAATGTGGGGCAGAACAATGAGACGGCAAGTACTGTTGTTTGTCTCGATTTTTTCCCTGAGATCAGTGTTCGGGCAGGTCACCTACTCCATTCCCGAGGAAATGACAAAAGGTTCTCTGGTTGGTAACATAGCGCAGGATTTAGGCTTAGACTTGAAAAGACTGAAGTCAGGTAAAGCTCGCATTTATACAGAGGACGATGCAGAATACATTGAGCTGAATAAAGACAGAGGAGCCCTGCTATTGAAAGAGAGAATCGACAGAGAGGCGCTCTGCGGGCAGACAACACCTTGCGCTTTACATCTTCAGATTACACTTGAGGACCCGATTGAATTCTATACAGTTACCGTCGAAATCAATGACATTAACGATAATGCACCCAGCTTCAAAAAGGATGAGATGAAATTTAGGATTAGTGAGTCGGCTGTGATTGGAGCGAAATTTGTCCTCGAGAGAGCTATGGATCTAGATGTCGGTGTTAACGGTTTGCAGAGTTATTCGCTAAAACCTACAGACAACTTTCATCTAAAACTCCAAAATCAGCAGGACGGGAGTAAAAAAGTGGAGATGGTTTTGCAAAAACAACTAGACAGAGAAACGCAAGAGCAGCTCTCTTTAACACTCACAGCTACTGATGGTGGTGAACCTCAGCTGTCGGGAACAATGAGAGTAGAGATTTCAGTGCTAGACGCCAATGACAATGCCCCAGTATTTACACAGGAAATATATAAAGTTACTATAATGGAAACAGCTTCAAAGGGCACAATTTTGAGTACCGTTAGTGCTGTAGACGCAGATGAAGGTTCCAATGGAAAATTATCCTATTCAATAACAAACACTTTGGATGATGTCCCTGTTATGTTTAAAGTTGACGAAGTCAGTGGTGTGGTAACTTTAACTGGAAACCTGGATTATGAAAAGGCACAGCACTATGAAATATATGTACAAGCTAGTGATGACGGAGGACTAACAGATTCGTGTAAGATTATTGTTGAAGTTACCGATACGAACGATAATCACCCATCTATTAACATCATGTCTAAAACGAATTCGATATCAGAAAATTCTAAGGCAGGAACTGTGGTAACTATATTTAATGTTCAAGATCCTGACTCTGGAGAAAATGGGAAAGTCGCATGTCATATTGAAGAGCGAATGCCATTTCTGATGAAAACAACGTCGAAAAAATTCTTTAGCCTGGTAACAGACAGTGAATTAGACAGAGAGAGAGCCTCTGAGTATAAAATAACAATGACCTGTCTGATGAGGGAGTGCCCTCCCTCTCCAGCAGCGTCACTCTCACCTTACAGATCTCTGATGTGAATGACAACGCGCCTGTCTTTGAGAGGAGCTCATATGAGGCATACATTGTAGAAAACAACACACCAGGCCTCTCTATATTCGCAGTGAAAGCCAGAGACGCTGACTGGAACCAGAATGCCCGTGTTTCTTACATACTGGAGGACTCCTCTGTTAACGGAGTGCCAGTCTCCTCATATGTGTCCGTTAGTGCTGATAGTGGAGTCATCCATGCAGTGCGCTCTTTTGACTACGAGCAGATCAAAGATTTCCACTTCCGCGTCAAAGCGCAGGATGGAGGCTCTCCTCCACTCAGTAGCAATGTGACTGTGAAAATACTGATCCAGGACCAGAACGACAACCCTCCTCAGGTTCTGTACCCAGTCCAGACTGGTGGCTCTCTGGTGGCTGAAATGGTGCCTCGTTCAGCAGATGTGGGCTATCTGGTGACTAAAGTGGTGGCTGTTGATGTGGACTCTGGACAGAATGCCTGGCTCTCCTATAAACTGCAGAAAGCCACAGACAGGGCGCTGTTTGAAGTGGGCTTACAGAATGGAGAAATAAGAACTATCCGCCAAGTCACTGATAAAGATGCAGTGAAACAAAGACTGACTGTTATAGTGGAGGACAACGGGCAGCCCTCTCGTTCAGCTACAGTCATTGTTAACGTGGCGGTGGCGGACAGCTTCCCTGAAGTGCTGTCGGAGTTCACTGACTTTACACACGACAAGGAGTACAATGACAACCTGACTTTTTACTTAGTGTTGGCTCTGGCTGTAGTTTCCTTCCTCTTCATCACGTGTTTAGTGGTTATTATAT